GTGCTGGAATAAAAAACAGTAAAAGCAAAGCTCGTGTGAAATGCGGCCGGTGGGGGTGGGGTGGGGTGGGGGGGGGGGTTGTTTTCCCACGGCCGCGGGGGGTCCCGCGCAGCCGGGCCCGTCCCGCCCCGAAGGAAAACACGGGAGCCAGCGGGACACCGCGGCCTCGGCACCGCGGGACCCCCCGGCCCCTCCCCTCGGCCGGAGCTGCCGGGGATGGACAATGCCGGGAAAGAGTGCGGGAAGGATCTGGGAGCCCCAGGATGGGGGATCCGGGGGATTGGGGATCCTGAGGATGGGGGATTCCGAGGACTGAGGATCCCAGGGATTTGGGATCCTGAGGATTGGGGATCCTGGGGATTTGGGATCCCGAGGATTGGGGATCCTGGGGATTTGGGATCCCGAGGATTGGGGATCACGGGGATTGGGGACCCCTAGGATTGAGGATCCTGAGGATCAGAAATCCTGGGGATTGGGGATCCCAAGAATCCCCATGTGCGGGTGCCCGGGGATCCCAAGGACCCACAGACCCTGTTCCTGGACACCCCAAAGACCCAGATCCCAAGGATTCAGGTGTCTGGATGTCCAGGGATCCCAGGGACACAAGATCCAGGCACCAGGGTGCTCAGGAATCTCCAGGACTCAGGGATCCCAAGGACTCAGGTGCCTGAGTCTCCAGGGATCCGGGATCCTGGGATCCAGACCACCCAGGCATGCCAAGGATCCCGACACTCTGAGGGCACAGCCATGTCGCTGACCCAGATGTCCCAGAAGTCCCCAGGACCCAGAGATCCCGAGGATCCACGTGTCCGCACACCCGGCCCACGCCAATCCGGCCGGCGCCAATCCGGGTGTCCGGCTCCCCCCCGTCACCCCCCACGTCCCCCCCATCCCGCCCACGCTCCGCTGCCCCTGCCGCCCTCCTGCCCGGGGTCCAAGGGGCTCCCAGGGATGCGGTTAAGGGCCCCCAGGACTTTGCCTCATCAATGATCCACCCTGGAGGGACAGAATGGGCCAGAGCGGGCCGGGGGTCCCCATCTGCCTGGGTCTGGGGGCTCCCAGGGCAAGGAAGAGGATGGGTTAGGTGGGATGGAGGGGCAGCCCCTGCGTCTCCCGGCTGGGCCCGGCGTGGTTGGCACCGGCATTTCCGTCCCGGGAGCGTCTCCACCGATCCATGGCGGGTTCCGGAGTCAAACGTTAACCGGGACCGGCGTGGCCTTAAATAGGAGCGGGGCCAGGCCGGGGGCAGGGCAGGGCCATGGGCAGCCGCGGGGCCGGGGGGTGCTAGCGGCCGGCCGAGGGCTCGGGGCAGCGGGATCGGGTGCTGGCAGAGGCCGGGAGATACCGGCGGTGACGGACAGGTGAGTGATCAATAGCGATCGATGGGCTGGTCACAGAGAGCCCCGCGAGGTCAGGAGAGAGATCAAAGCTCAGTAGATTCATCAATGGAGAGAAGGGCTGATCAATAGGGATTATAGGTCAGGAGGGTGATCAGTTGAGAGATTTAAATAAATCAACAAATAGAGGGAAGAAAGGTCAATAAATCAATCAAGAGAGTAATTAAAGGTCAATCAATCAATAAGAAGATTACAGGCCAAGAGACTGATCAAGAGGACTGGGGATCCTGGGGATTTGGGATCCCGAGGATTGGGGATCCTGGGGATTTGGGATCCCGAGGATTGGGGATCACGGGGATTGGGGACCCCTAGGATTGAGGATCCTGAGGATCAGAAATCCTGGGGATTGGGGATCCCAAGAATCCCCATGTGCGGGTGCCCGGGGATCCCAAGGACCCACAGACCCTGTTCCTGGACACCCCAAAGACCCAGATCCCAAGGATTCAGGTGTCTGGATGTCCAGGGATCCCAGGGACACAAGATCCAGGCACCAGGAGCTCAGGAATCTCCAGGACTCAGGGATCCCAAGGACTCAGGTGCCTGAGTCTCCAGGGATCCGGGATCCTGGGATCCAGACCACCCAGGCATGCCAAGGATCCCGACACTCTGAGGGCACAGCCATGTCGCTGACCCAGATGTCCCAGAAGTCCCCAGGACCCAGAGATCCCGAGGATCCACGTGTCCGCACACCCGGCCCACGCCAATCCGGCCGGCGCCAATCCGGGTGTCCGGCTCCCCCCCGTCACCCCCCACGTCCCCCCCATCCCGCCCACGCTCCGCTGCCCCTGCCGCCCTCCTGCCCGGGGTCCAAGGGGCTCCCAGGGATGCGGTTAAGGGCCCCCAGGACTTTGCCTCATCAATGATCCACCCTGGAGGGACAGAATGGGCCAGAGCGGGCCGGGGGTCCCCATCTGCCTGGGTCTGGGGGCTCCCAGGGCAAGGAAGAGGATGGGTTAGGTGGGATGGAGGGGCAGCCCCTGCGTCTCCCGGCTGGGCCCGGCGTGGTTGGCACCGGCATTTCCGTCCCGGGAGCGTCTCCACCGATCCATGGCGGGTTCCGGAGTCAAACGTTAACCGGGACCGGCGTGGCCTTAAATAGGAGCGGGGCCAGGCCGGGGGCAGGGCAGGGCCATGGGCAGCCGCGGGGCCGGGGGGTGCTAGCGGCCGGCCGAGGGCTCGGGGCAGCGGGATCGGGTGCTGGCAGAGGCCGGGAGATACCGGCGGTGACGGACAGGTGAGTGATCAATAGCGATCGATGGGCTGGTCACGGAGAGCCCGGCGAGGTCAGGAGAGAGATCAAAGCTCAGTAGATTCATCAATGGAGAGAAGGGCTGATCAATAGGGATTATAGGTCAGGAGGGTGATCAGTTGAGAGATTTAAATAAATCAACAAATAGAGGGAAGAAAGGTCAATAAATCAATCAAGAGAGTAATTAAAGGTCAATCAATCAATAAGAAGATTACAGGCCAAGAGACTGATCAATAGAGAGTTTAAGATGGATACATTGATCAATAGATTATAAATCAATAACTGGATCATTAGAATGATTGATGGAGAAGATCATTATTCTGATTGGTTGATTATGGTTCAATAGATTCGTCAATAGAAAAATAGAGACCAATTGGATGATCAATTAATAGATTAGAGATCAATTTATTGGTACTAGAGATACACAGACTAACAGATGGATCAATAGAGATCCCTCTAGATTAATAGATTGATTGATCAAGCCATCAGTAGATTAACAGATCAATCAATAGGTCAACAGATCAACAACAGAAACATATGGATCAATAAACTAATGCATAAAGAGACCATGGACTAATGATGATCAACCTATTACAGATAAGGGGAGTCTAGTAATCAATAATTTATCAACAGAGAAAGAACTCGCTATATTGATTGGCAGGGGGACCAAGAGATTGATCAATAGGTTGATTATCAGCAGAAAATCGATTTGTTGATAGGCTAAGGATCAATAAACAGGCAGAGAGAGCGGAGAAATCCATTGATCTGTGGATCGATCGATTGACCAAGGGGTGAAGGAGGGGCCGGGGGGGGCGGGGCCGAGGGAGGGGCGGCCGGAGGGACAGAGGGACGGCCGGAGGGACAGAGGGACGGCCGGAGAGCCCGGACAGTCCCGAGAGTCCGAGCCGCAGCCTGGGAACAGCCGAGGGAGGAGGAGGAGGAGGAGGAGGAGGAAGAGGAGGAGAGCAGGTGGGGATCGATTGATCGTGAGGGATCTGAGGGATTGGTGGGAAAGGGGACAGAGGATTGATTGATTGATTGATGGATTGATTGATTAATATATTGATTAATTGGGAAGGGATGGGGAGAGCTGAGGCCAAGAAATGATCAGTGATTGATTGGTTGATCAATAAAGTGAGAGTGACGGTGATAGGTGGATTGATGAATAGATAATAGATCAATATATTGATAGATCAGAGAGACAGGTTGATAGACAGATCTGTCAATAGATAGATCAATAGATTGATCTAGACTGATAGCAGATTCATCAATCAGACTGATAGTTAAATCCATTGATCAAGGGATGGATCAATTTATCAACACATCAGTCAATCCATCTGATAGACCAATACATTGATTGTTTGATTGATTGATGGAACAGTCAATAGGTGATCAATAGAGGGTCCTCGTGCCTGTCCCTTGGCCGAGCTGGGGACCATCCACCATCCTCCATCCACCCTCGGCCACTCCGTGTCCTTCCTCCACCCTGGGGCCAACCCTCATCCTCCTCCCTCCACCCCTCGGCCATCCCTCCGCTGACCACCCAAACCATGCCTGACCTCTCCTGACCCCTCCTTTGGTCCATCCCTGGGCCTGTCCATCTGCTGACCACCCTTTGGCCATCCCCTGACCACCCTTTGGCCATCCCCGGACCGCCCTTTGGCCATCCCCGGACCGCCCTTTGGCCATCCCCGGACCGCCCTTTGGCCATCCCCGGACCGCCCTTTGGCCATCCCCGGACCGCCCTTTGGCCATCCCCGGACCGCCCTTTGGCCATCCCCGGACCGCCCTTTGGCCATCCCCGGACCGCCCTTTGGCCATCCCCGGACCGCCCTTTGGCCATCCCCGGACCGCCCTTTGGCCATCCCCGGACCGCCCTTTGGCCATCCCCGGACCGCCCTTTGGCCATCCCCGGACCGCCCTTTGGCCATCCCCGGACCGCCCTTTGGCCATCCCCGGACCGCCCTTTGGCCATCCCCGGACCGCCCTTTGGCCATCCCCGGACCGCCCTTTGGCCATCCCCGGACCGCCCTTTGGCCATCCCCGGACCGCCCTTTGGCCATCCCCGGACCGCCCTTTGGCCATCCCCGGACCGCCCTTTGGCCATCCCCGGACCGCCCTTTGGCCATCCCCGGACCGCCCTTTGGCCATCCCCGGACCGCCCTTTGGCCATCCCCTGACCAGCCTTTGGCCACCCAGTGACCACTCTTTGGCCCCCCACTGACCACCCTTTGCCCATTCTCTGGCCACCCTTTGGCCATTCCCTGACCACGCCTTGCTCCATCCCTCCCCTTTCCTCCTCTTCCCACCCGCAGCTGACCTGGGCCCTGTCCAGCTCCGTCCCCTCTCCAGCCATGTCCTTCGTGGAGCTGCTGTCCCGTCTGGGTGGCATGGGCCGCTTCCAGGTGACCTACGTGGCCGCGCTGGCTGTCCCTCTGCTCATGCTGGCCAGCCACAACCTCCTGCAGAACTTCACCGCCGGCATCCCCGAGCACCACTGCCGGCCCCGGCCCGTGGCCAACACCACCGCGGCTGACGTCCCCCTGGTCGTGTCCATCCCCTGGGACGGCCACCGCCGGCCCCAGAGCTGCCGCCGCTACGTGGAGCCCCAGTGGCACCTCTTGGACACCAACGGCTCGGCCAACGGCTCGGCCGCTGAGGCGGCCACCGAGCCGTGCCACGACGGCTGGACGTACCTGGATGGCATCTTCACCGACACCATCGTCACCGAGGTGAGGGAGGGTGGCACCCCGGGGTCCCCCAGGGCGGGGGGATGCTGGTGACCCTGTGATGTCCCTGTGGTGTCCCTGTGGTGTCCCCGTGGTGACCCCCATGGTGTCCCTGTGGTGTCCCTGTGGTAACCGCTGTGGTGTCCCCATGGTGACCCCTGTGGTGACCCTTATGGTGTCCCCATGGTGACCTCCATGGTGACCCCAGTGGTGACCCCGTGTCCCCTCCTGGTGGCAGTGGGACCTGGTGTGTGACTCCAAGAAGATGAGGCAGGTGGCCCAGTCCATCTACATGGCCGGGATCCTGCTGGGCTCCAGCCTCTTCGGGATCCTCTCTGACAAGTGCGTGCTTGCCCGGCGCTGGACTGGGAGGAACTGGGAGGAGCTGGGAGGAGCTGGGAGGAGCTGGGAAGGGGGAGAGGAGTGTTGTGTTCTCTGCCCCCTCTGACCCCCACTGTCCTGGTGTCCCCAGGGTGGGGCTGTCCCAGCACAGGTTGTCCCCCTCTGTCCCCACGTCACTCCCAGCATTCCCAGTACCTGTATTCTCACCCCAGTGTTCCCAGTGCCTTGTGCGCCCATCCCAGTGCCCACAGCGCTGTCCCAGTGACCCCAGCACACCATGTCCCCCTTCCCAGTGCCCACGTCCCCAACCCAGGATCTCCAGAATCCAACATTCTCCCATCCCAGTGCCTCCAGTTCCCCAAATCCCCCACCCCAGTGTTCCCAGCCCTCCCAGTGCTCCCAGTGCCGTGTCCCCGCAGGTTCGGGCGCCGGGCGCTGCTCACCTGGTGTTACCTGCAGCTGGGGGCGACGGGGGTGGGCACGGCCGCCGCCCCCTCCCTCCTGGTCTACTGCGTGTGCCGCTTCCTGACCGGGCTGGCCATGGCCGGCGTGTCCCTCAACTCTGCCTCCCTCTGTGAGCCACCGCCCCAGGGACCCTGGGTGGGAGGGGAGGGACCCCCGAGGAGGGGCAGGACCCCTGAACCCAGGGAGGGACGCACACATCCACCCCAAAACCCAATGACCTATGGGAGGAACCCCATTGACCCAATCCCATTGACTCAAACCCATTTATCCAACCCCATTGACTCAAGCCCATTGACCCAATCCCATTGTCCCAACCCCATTGATTCAACCCCATTGACCCAAGCTCATTGACCCAACCCCACTGACCCAACCCAACTCCACTGACCCAACCCCAACCCCCATTGACCCAAACCCAACCCCATTAACCCAACCCCACCCCACTGACCCAATCCCATTGACTCAACCCCATTGACCCAACCCCATTGACTCAAACCAACTCCATTGACCCAACCCAGTGACCCCAACCCCACTGACCCTACCCAACTGCACCGACCAACGTGAGGAACCCAACCCCCAAGCCCACCCAGGGCCCCCCGGGCCAGCCCCTGACCCTGTGGCCATGCCACAGGCATGGAGTGGATCCCGACGGAGGCTCGGGCCGTGGTGGGGACCATCAATGGCTACTGCTACACCCTGGGCCAGTTCGTGCTGGCGGCTGCGGCCTTCGGGCTCCCGCGCTGGCGGCAGCTCCAGCTTGCCGTGTCCCTGCCCTTCTTCGTCTTCTTCTTCTACTCCTGGTATGGAACCCCCCGGCGCCCACCCCCAGGTGCCCCCCCCCGGTGCCCACCCCTGGTGTCCATCCTTGGGGCCCACCCCCAGTGTTCAACCCCAGTGTCCAGCCCTGTCCTGATTTTGGGGACAAAAAAGGGATTTTGGGAGTCTGGGGTCTTTAAATTGTTGGAAAGACCCCTCCTCAAATGCTGGGGTGGCCACTGACCTTCCCATGACCCCTCTGTCCGGGGTCCTTTGTGGTGGGAGGGGGTGCAGGGACCTCCTGACCCCAGACCTTCCCCGACACCCCCAGTCTGGGATCCTTTGGGGGCGGTGGGAGGCCGGGGGGGGGTTAGGGACCCCCCGGTGCCACCTCGCCCCCACCCCCCCCAGGCTGTACGTGGAGTCGGCGCGCTGGCAGGTGACCTCGGGCAGACCCGACCTGGCCCTGCGGGGGCTCCGCAAGGTCGCGAGGGTCAACGGCAGGAAGGAGGAGGGGGACAAGCTCAGCGAGGAGGTGGGGAGGGGTCTGGGGGCCACCCAGATCCCTCTGAACCCCCAAATCCCCTTGATCTGCCCCTAAATCCCCCCAGTTCGCTGGTAACTCCCACTCCATCCCTGACCCGTCCTGATCTTGGGGGACCCCCCAAATCCTCCCCTGTTCTCCCATCCATCCCCCCATTCCCTCTCTCCTCGACCCCAACCCCCCCAAACCCCTCGGATCCCCCCAAAACCCCTCGGATCCCCCCCCGACCCCCCGGATCTCCCCCTCCCCAACTCCTTGGATCCCCTGCAGATCACCAGGACCCCCGGGGACCCCTCAGATCCCCTCTGGGTCCCTCTGATCCCACCCCAGACCCCTCCAGACCACCTGAATCCCCCCCAGTCCTCTCCAAGGCCCCCGGATCCCCCTCCCCAGCCCCCCGGGAGCCCTCCCCGGGGCGGATCCCGCAGATCCCGGGGCTCTCCCTCCGCAGGCGCTGCGGGCTCTGGTGCGCCGGGAGCCGCCGCTGCCGGGCGGGGCCGTGGCCGCGCTCGTCCGGACCCCCGGCATGAGGACGGTGTCGTGCGGGGTCTCCTTCGTCTGGTGCGTCCTGGCAAAAAACATCTTTTTTGGGGGGAGGGAAAAACGATTATTTGGGGGAAAAAACTGTTTGGGGTGGAAAATACACAATTTGGGGAGATAACTCATCAAGTTTTCGGTAAAAATCCCTGATTTTTGGTGCAAAGAAACAGCTTTTGAGGGAAAAAATCCCCCCACCTTTTGGGGCAAACCTCAATTTTTTTGGGGGAACTCCTTCACTTGTTGGGAAAAAACATGTTTTGGGGGGGGGGAAAAAACCACCTATAGGGAAAGAAATCCCCACCTTTATTGGGAAAACAACCTCACCTTTTTGGCAAAAAACACCTTTGGGGATCACAACTCACTTTTTTTTAGGGGGAAAAACACATTTTGGGGTAAATTTCCCCATATTTTTGGAGAAAAACCCTCTTTTTGGGTCAAACCTAGAGCTTTTGGGGCAAAAAAATCATCTCTTGGGACCAAAGCACACTAGGGCAAACCTCCATCTTTTGGGACAACCTCCATCTTTTGGGAAAAACTCCATCTTTTGGGACAACCTCCATCTTTTGGGACAATCTCCATCTTTTGGGAGAATCTCATCTTTTGGGACAACATCCATTTTTCGGGACAACCTCCATCTTTCGGGACAACCTCCATCTTTTGGGACAACCTCCATCTTTTGGGACAATCTCCATCTTTTGGAGTCCCATCCTCCCATTTTGGGTGTTTCTGGTGCTGATTTGTCGGATTTTGGTGAAGGTTCTCCACCAGCTTCGCCTACTACGGGCTGGCCATGGACCTGCAGGGCTTCGGCTTCAACGTGTACCTGAGCCAGCTGGTGTTCGGCGCTGTGGACATCCCGGCCAAGCTGCTGTCCGTGCTGGTCATCTCCTGCCTCGGCCGGCGCCTGGCCCAGGGCGGCTCCCTGGCGCTCGCCGGCCTCTGCATCCTGGCCAACATCTTCGTGCCCAGCGGTGGGAGCGGCCACCGGGAGGGAGGGACAGGGAGGGGACGGGGAGGGATGGAGGAGAATGGGATGGAGGAAAGGAGGAGGGAGGGATGGAGAAGAATGGGGTGGAGGGATGGAGGATGGAGAGATGGAGGAGAATGGGATGGAGGAGAATGGGGTGGAGGGATGGAGAGATGGAGGATAGAGGGATGGAGGAGAATGGGGTGGAAGAAATGAGGAGGGAGAGATGGAGGGGAATGGGATGGGGGAGATTGGGGTGGAGGGATGGAGGATAGAGGGATGGAGGAGAATGGGGTGGAAGAAATGAGGAGGGAGAGATGGAGGGGAATGGGATGGAGGAGAATGGGGTGGAGGAGAATGGGATGGAGGAAGGACAATGTGGTGGAGTGGGGATGGAGGGAAGGAGAAGGGGAGGGAGGGAAGGAGGGAGGGATGGATGACAATGGGATGAAGGGATGATGAAGGACCATCAGTGGGATGAAGGGTCATTGGAGGAACAGTCATTGAAGAATGGTCATTGGAGGGGGAAGGGTCACAGGGGGGTGCAGGGCCACCATAGGGGTGAAGGATGACCGGTGGGTGGACACTGAGGAGGCGTGGGTGATGTGTCCGGCTGGCCCCCAGAGCTGCCGACGCTGCGCATGGCCTTCGCCGTGGTCGGGAAGGGCGCCTTGGCCGCCTCCTTCAACTGCGCCTACATCTTCTCCGGGGAGCTCTTCCCCACCGTCATCAGGTGGGTGGGGTCACCCCAGCCCCGCCCCCACCCATCCGCTGTCCACGTGCTAACCCCACCTTCCACCAACCCAACCCTCCATGAACCCAACCAAAGTCATCAACCCAACCAGTCACCATCCATCATCCATCCATCCCTGTGTCCATCCCTGTGTCCATCCCTGTGTCCATCCCTGTGTCCATCCCTGTGTCCATCCCTGTGTCCATCCCTGTGTCCATCCCTGTGTCCATCCCTGTGTCCATCCCTGTGTCCATCCCTGTGTCCATCCCTGTGTCCATCCCTGTGTCCATCCCTGTGTCCATCCCTGTGTCCATCCCTGTGTCCATCCCTGTGTCCATCCCTGTGTCCATCCCTGTGTCCATCCCTGTGTCCATCCCTGTGTCCATCCCTGTGTCCATCCCTGTGTCCATCCCTGTGTCCATCCCTGTGTCCATCCCTGTGTCCATCCCTGTGTCCATCCCTGTGTCCATCCCTGTGTCCATCCCTGTGTCCATCCCTGTGTCCATCCCTGTGTCCATCCCTGTGTCCATCCCTGTGTCCATCCCTGTGTCCATCCCTGTGTCCATCCCTGTGTCCATCCCTGTGTCCATCCCTGTGTCCATCCCTGTGTCCATCCCTGTGTCCATCCCTGTGTCCATCCCTGTGTCCATCCCTGTGTCCATCCCTGTGTCCATCCCTGTGTCCATCCCTGTGTCCATCCCTGTGTCCATCCCTGTGTCCATCCCTGTGTCCATCCCTGTGTCCATCCCTGTGTCCATCCCTGTGTCCATCCCTGTGTCCATCCCTGTGTCCATCCCTGTGTCCATCCCTGTGTCCATCCCTGTGTCCATCCCTGTGTCCATCCCTGTGTCCATCCCTGTGTCCATCCCTGTGTCCATCCCTGTGTCCATCCCTGTGTCCATCCCTGTGTCCATCCCTGTGTCCATCCCTGTGTCCATCCCTGTGTCCATCCCTGTGTCCATCCCTGTGTCCATCCCTGTGTCCATCCCTGTGTCCATCCCTGTGTCCATCCCTGTGTCCATCCCTGTGTCCATCCCTGTGTCCATCCCTGTGTCCATCCCTGTGTCCATCCCTGTGTCCATCCCTGTGTCCATCCCTGTGTCCATCCCTGTGTCCATCCCTGTGTCCATCCCTGTGTCCATCCCTGTGTCCATCCCTGTGTCCATCCCTGTGTCCATCCCTGTGTCCATCCCTGTGTCCATCCCTGTGTCCATCCCTGTGTCCATCCCTGTGTCCATCCCTGTGTCCATCCCTGTGTCCATCCCTGTGTCCATCCCTGTGTCCATCCCTGTGTCCATCCCTGTGTCCATCCCTGTGTCCATCCCTGTGTCCATCCCTGTGTCCATCCCTGTGTCCATCCCTGTGTCCATCTGTCCCACCGCGTGGCTCTCCCGGCACAGGCAGACGGGGATGGGCCTGGGGGGCACCATGGCCCGCGTGGGGAGCATGGTGGCCCCCCTGGTGCGCATGATGGCCGACGTGACCCCGGTGCTGCCCCTCGTCATCTACGGCGCCGCGCCCATCGTCTCGGCCATCGCCACCTGCTTCCTGCCCGAGACCCGCAACGCGCCCCTGCCCGAGACCGTCAAGGACGTGGAGCGGCGGTGAGGACACCCCAAAACCCCCCGAGACCTCCCAACCCTTCCCTGGGGCGAACATCCCTGTTTTGGGGTGGGATTGGTTCTTGGAGGAACCCAGGAGCTTTGGGGTTGAAAAGGGATGAAGTTTTGGGGTTGGGATGAAGGTTTGGGGTTGGGATGAAAGTTTGGGATTGGGATGGAGGTTTTGGAGTTGGGATGAAGGTTTGGGGTTTGAGATTAAGGTTTTGGGGTTGGTTTGGAGGTTTTGGGTTGGGATGACAGTTTGGAGTTGGGTTGGGTTGGAGGTTTTGGGGTTAGGATGAAGGTTTGGGGTGGGGATGAAGGTTTAGGGTTGGGATGAAGGTTTGGGGTTAGGTTGGAGGTTTGGGGTTGGGTTGGGACAGAGGTCTTGGGGTTGCGATGGAGGTTTTGGGGTCGGGAAGGGTTGAGACTTTTAGGAAGACCTGAACATTTTGGGGAGAACGTTGAAGGTTTTGGGAAGGGTTGAATGTTCTGGGATTGGGAAGGACGAAAATTTTGGGGAGCGACTGGGAGCTTTTGGGGTCCCTCCAGGGCGGGTCACCTCGAGGACGACGACGTCGCCGTCCCCCTGAGCAGCACCAAGAGCAAGGACGGCGCCTGAGGGGGGGATCTGGGACCCCCGGGGGGATTTTGGGGCCGGGACCCCCCTGGCGTTCCCCCAGCCCCTCCCCCCCGGGTTATTTATTCAATCCCAATAAAATCTTGTGGGAATTTCGGGATCTGGCTCCGCCCGTGGACATTCCAGGGGGGGGCTGAAGGATTTGGGGGCGTCCCCACCCCCCAAAGGGACTCAGACATCAGGGGATCCCCCCCGGAGCTCGTTAACGAGGATTAATTGGAATTCCCGGAGCTCGGTGGCCTTTGCCCCAATTCCGGCGATTTGGCTGCAGAATAAATCTGGGAACGGGATTAATTCGCATTTCCAGGCGGGACAAAAAACCCCAAAAGGAGCAGAATTAACCCCAAAAAAAATCTCAGCACAGGCCCTGGAAAAGCCACATCCCAATCCCAAAACTGGCATTTTTCACCCCAAAAATCAGCCAGCCCCACCTCAATCTCATCCCTCAGAGAAGCCACAGCCCAACCCCCAAATTGGGTTTTTTTACCCCAAATCCAGCCACCCATCAGCCCCAAAATCCTCCAATTTTACCCCAAATCCACGTTGTGCTCTGAAATCCCCATTTTTGCTCCAAAATCCCTCATTTTTGCCCCAAAACCCCCAAATTTCCCCCCAAACTTCATTTTTGCCCCAACTCCTCCCGTTTTTTTCCCAAAAAACCCCACTCGGTCCATCTTTTTTGCATTTTTTGCCGTTTTTATTACGAAAAATGAGCCGTTTTGAGCCGTTTTGGTGTCGTTTCGCTCGTTCCCGGATAAGACACAACCGTGAAGCTTCGCCGAGGGGACTTTGGGGTGAATCCCCCTGGTTTTGGGACATTTCCATGTCCCCACCCCCGGCAGGGCACGAAAACGGGGGGAAAAAAAAATCCCATTTTGAACCAAAACGCCGTCGATTCCCCCCAAAATCGTGCTCGGGACGGGGAGGAGAGAAACCACCGGGATGAGGCCTCGGATCTGGAATTTTGGGGAGGATTTCAGGGATTTGGGTCAATTTTGAGCACTTTGGGGGAGTTTTTCAGTCATCTTTGGGGTTGTTTTGGCCAGTTTTGGGGTATTTTGGTCGTTTTTGGGAAATTTCCGTGATTCTTTGGGGTTATTTTGGTCAATTTGTGGTTTTATTTGGGGATATTTTGGATTTTAAAAATAATTTTGGGGGGATGCATCACCACTTTGGGGTTATTTGGTTATTTTAGGGCTATTTGGGTCATTTTGGGGTTATTTTGGTCAGGTTTGGGGCTATTTGAGTTACTTGGGGGTTATTTTGGGTGTATTTTAGTGCTTTTAGGGCTATTTTGGTCTCTTTTTTTTGGTTATTTGTATAATTTTGGATTATTTCAGTCCTTTTGGGGTTATTTTGGGGGCTATTTGGTCAATTTTGGGGCTATTTCAACATTATTTCAGTAAATTTGGGGTTATTTTGGTCAAACTTGGGGCGATTTCGGTCATTTTGGGATTATTTCATTTGGTGCATTATTTGGGTCATTTTTGGGGTTATTTGCCCATTTTTGGGGTTGTTTTGGCCGTTTTTGGGGCCCATCCCG